ACATTTTAATGAATGAAAGCTCCTAACTCTCTTGGGAACAATTTACTTTTTTTGGTACCAGGGATCAAACTCACAGGCATGATGTCCCTGAGTTAAATCTCAGGTCCCCTTGGGGACAGTTTGTGAAGCTGTTTTGGGGATAGGGAGGCTTGAAATCAGCTATTGTGCTCTTTGACTAACTTTTCCACCTCCAGGGCCAGTACCAGGTAGAGATAGGCCAGCGCCATTCCTGGCCAGAGATGCATTACCCATCTGACTCTGTCTCAGCCTCCACAAGCTCCCAGAGGTGAGAGCAAGAAGTTTGACCCAAAGCACTTTTTCTCCATTGGTAAAGTGCTTCTCACGATGGGCTTTTCTTTGGTTAGGGAGAGGAGGAATTGGGGATAACTTTGCTTTACTCTCTCTCTACTTAAATTTTTATTTTTTGATCAATAATATGTGTGATAAAGCTTGCCATTTGTTATGGCTGTGTCTAGATGTCCTCCCAGAGCCTCCTGTGGTCATCAGCTTTTCAGAGGTGGCTGCATCTAGGCTGTGTGATGCTGGGATTAGGGTGTGATTGCTAAATTAGTCCGCTGATTGGTGAGGCGTAGTTCTGGGTGTGGATGATGGGAAGGTCTAGCCTGGGTGTGCATGGCACCACCCAAAGGGCAGGTGGCCTGGCCGGATTTAAGGGGATGTAGCTCTGTGGTACCACATCTGCCTGGCAAGCACAAGTCCTGACTTTGACCTCCAGTACCAGGAGAAAAAAATAAAAAAGAATAACGGGACAAAAAGCAGTCCAGCTGGTACTTCTTCACTCCTTCATGTTTGCTTGCTGCCTTCTGCCCACCATGAGCTGTTTCTCCTCTGCAGTGTCCCTCCTTGGAGCCAGCCATCTATGAACTGAAACCTCTACAGACTGTCTTTCCTCCTCTAACATCGGGTGTCAGGCGTTCTGTCTCAGCAATGAGAAAAAGACACCATTTGAATCATTTTAAGGGCACAACTCAGTGTCACTAACTACACAGACAGTGTTACAGAACCGCCCTACCACTTGACCCTTGAAACCCTGCCACTATCCAAACAGAAACTCAGCCACCTAGACAGTGATTTCCCATTGCTGCTCTTCCAGCTGTTGGATTCTTTTCTTCAGTGTCAGAACAAGGATGAGGACGTCTAGTTCTCTTGTCTTCTGCTTTTTCCTGTCCCATCTTTGTTTTTCTCCTTTCTGGAGCTGGGATTAAAAGATTTGTAGGTAGCTGGGGTCTGGAGTAAATAAGTTCTGCAGTTGAGTTGATACCTCCTGTACTCACTATTGTCATTAAAACTAGTGAACGATGGATGACCTGTGAGGTATGATTTGGACCGTGTGTGTCACGCTGCAGTGAGTGGTTTTTCAAGTGTCGAGAACACACCTCCCATTGTCTTGTGAGTTAAGGGCAGTTCAGACTTGATCTTGGTCTTCTGGGAACTTGGACTCTAAGGGAAGTGTGAGCAGTTAGGATGGACAAGATCTCCCAGAGGGCCTGTGTGGCCCCGTGTCAGTCTCGGTTCATACATTATGCCTGCCCATTTCCCCACACAGCTTTAGGAGCTGGGGCGTTGGCATCCCTTCCTCCCAGGGCTGACACTGTGAGGAAGTCTTCAGACTGCCAAGGTGCCCTCGTGTACGCTGCACAGCAGGGGAGGAAGAGGCAAAAGCCCGGGAAGGTGGGAGGTAGCTGGGTCTGCAGTTCCAGGGACGGCAGTGAGGGTTTGCAGAGTCTGGGAGTGGGGACAGGCTCAGTAAGAGAACTGGCCGGGGGCAAAAGGGAGCAGCTTGTGTTTCCCTCTAGAATGTTACAGGTGCATGGGAATGGATAGCATGTAGTGAGTGTGTATCGTGCAGCCGTAACCTTTGCATCCGGCATCTCATTTATCCCTGTAGTGCCTTGCTGGGCTTTCTGCTGTCACCGGTCTCACCCTGAACGTGAGTGAGATGTGGGAAGCTCAGTGGCTGGCCTGGGTCAGGCAGCAGAGCCCCACAGCCCCACATGGGCCTGCTGACCCAAGGGTCCCGACTGCTGATCCCAGAGCCCACCTCTCCCCTGTGACCAAGATTTCTCCATCCTGGGCTTCTCCCAGAGGACCTCCTGTTCTCTGGAAGCTTTCCTGTCTGTGTGCACGCGGGCTCTGGGTTTTCTAAGTCAGGCTGGAGGTGGGGAGTGGCCGAGTTGGGGGAGATAGAGAGAGAGAGAGAGAGAGAGAGAGAGAGAGAGAGAGGGGGGGGGGG